CCCGACCCTGGCTTCTGAAAATGAACCAGTACCTAAATCCTCACTGATTTGTGGAAGACACTAAGTGGTAGATGTGTGTTGATAAATGTGAGGTGAAGCAGCCTGCATTTTACACAAGTGAGTTAAACCGAAATGTCTTGTGTCTCCATGTTTTGTCTGGTTTTGCGGGCAATATCCCCAATGTCCTGTTGGTTGTAATGGGGGGGTGGGAGGGTCTCTTTCAACACCATGAGCCCAGAGTAATCTGCAATTTGAATCTACACTTAGGAAGTACTTTCTGAAGTTACATACTTTCCTAAAAACGCTGTTATCACTCTGGAACATGGTGGTGGATGCATCATTCTATGGGGATGATTCTCTTTAGTGGATTTAGCAATCAGGTAAAATTGTTTGAAAACCCTGAATCCTTTTCACAATTTGTCTTTCATATAAAATTCCAGTAAAACACAAATTTGAAGTTATAAAAATGTGAAAATTTTCTAAACTGCATTAATACAGTACTGTATAGCATTAAAAGTCCCCACTTATTTACAAGTTTATAATAAATAAATGAGTTAAATCTCTCCAGATAAATAAATAATGATATTTTTCTTTTGCCACAAGGTTAGCATTTTGACTTCCTGAAGTGATCTTTCATCTTTCTCTTTCTCTTTGAGTCAGCACATCCTAATCCCTAATAATCAGAGACAAGGGAAGAAGAATTGTTGAAATCCTGGGTCACAAACTTGTATTAGGACACAAATTACCCCTGTCCAGTCCTAATAGCTGCCGTTAATGAGCTTTCTGACTGTCAGTACTTTGGGAGATTTAAAATACACCAACAGCGAAGAGCCAGAACTTGGGCGTGCTTAAAAAGCCTTTAATCCGTTTTAATTCTATTAAGCATTGGACTACAGCTGGACGAGAGGCCAGCATACCTCCAGTGGCTAAGTCGCCAGTGGCTTGAATACACAAAGTGAAAAGCTGCTACTTTATGAAGGACAAATACATCTATTATTAGTTGTGGTAAGCTAAGATTTGTTGCAGTGTGTGTGTGTGTGTGTGTGTGTGTGTGTGTGTATGTGTGTGTGCACTCTGTCAAACTGTGTGGAAAACTGAATGTAGATAATCTGCAAATTCCTCAGCGTTATCTTTCTTAGACAAAAAGCATCTCATATCCAGGTGTTCCCGTCGTCCTCAGACATGCAGATGTGGCGGTGAGCTACGTGCCTTTCCCCCAAAACTTATCTGCGCTGATCTCAATCAGCTCCAGAGTCCGACTCGGTATTTCTGCGTCTGTGCCGCTTCGCGCAGTTCTAATCTTATCGAGGAATTCCCCAAAGGTATTGTATAAGGAGGCAGCTTTAATTTTATTTTACAGCGAAGCATGCAGAAATAAATGTCTTTCACCTGTGGAGATTAGAGTTCAAATAGCACCCTCCTTGTCCCCACCTCCTCATTTTAAATGACCACAATGGAAGGCCACTGCTCTTGTGTGCACAATCAGAGCGGAGCAAATAGCGAGACCCTTCTGACTCGACCTCGGTAATCTAAACATGGGAGAATCTGCCCCTGCTTGTTGATTCCCATTTGTTTTGAGACGGGCCACGGGGTTTTGAGCAAGACGCCTGCCACTCACAGAGCAAACGAGACGTCTGACAGGGTGTGTGAGCTATGTGCCTATGTGGAGCCTTCGTCTCACTCTGCTCATTCACACACACAATAACAGGCAGAGAAAGAGAGAGAGGCGGACGCAGAAAGACGGGTACCTGTCACACAAGCATGGGCATATGCACAGGAATGAGACGTGTCACCGTAGTAACAACATTATGAAAGAAAACAGCCATGATCACATTCTTACCCTGTGAACTCAGCAGCTCCCCACCTGATCTGCAAGGCCTTGCAAAACTATTCAGACAAACAAACAAACCCAGCTCTATGTTCATCGCCCTAAACACATCTCCATTGTGAATGTTAAGCTGAAGCAGAGGTTCGCCTTTCAGTGAAGCAATAACTTTAATAAAAGTACAGCAAGATGAACATTCAAGATCAACACAGGCTCCCTACACATTTTAAATGAGCTTATGCTGTTTTGCAATGAAGACTGGGCACAGGTGCAAATTTGGTAGAGACGCTACCCTAAAAACACACCGAGCAATAAAAATAAAAAATAAATAAAAATGCACTCAGCACTCTCCAAAAATCCTATTTGTAAAATAAACCCTCCACAATCATCCAGTATACCTTTGGTTAGTCTCACATACTGTCTCAATAAAAAGCACAGCGCCTTTTGGGATGCGCTGTATACTTCCATCTGTTCTGCCACACGCTCCAGGACTTTTTCCCGTCATTACTGGTTCACCCTTAGTTTAGCGTTACACTCACAGAGCCATTACCGGGGCCCTCCTTCCTCCTCTTTTTGCTCTCTTTGTTTGATCTGGGCTGCTTTTTATTCTCCCCCAGTATGCTTGGAAGTGAACTGGAGAGAGAAAGTGGTGAGGGGGGAGAAAAAAAAAAGAAAGAAATGAAAGAAAATGCCTCAAACGTCCTAACCTGTGTCGCGCTAAGCATCTCCATGGTAGCATGACCCCCCCCCGAAACAGCCCATCGTGCTCCACTGCACTTTAAAAGAAGTGCAGGGAAGGGGCAGAGCAAGGAAGGGTGTGAAGGAAAGAGAGGGAGTCCAGATAAAGAAAACTGCAAACAGAAGTGGAGTACAAGGCTCTAAACTTAACACATGGCTATATCGCTTATCACTTCTGCTTTTATGTTTTGTTCCCCAAAACATGAAAGCAGCTTCCTGCACGGAAGTAATTTAAAAGCTGTTTACTGACTAATTTCCATCAGCCAGTAAACAGCTTTTAAGATGATTAAATAAATGATTGAAACCAGTTATGCTCAAGAAAACCAAGAGAGCCTCCACCGGGCAAGTATTGTTGAAGTTTGAACAACTCAACGGGACATGAACTAAACCAGAAAAATGTCAATAACCAAAACTATTTTTATAAATAAGAAAATAAATATTATTTACACAGCAGCAAATCTTGCTCAGATCATTTCTGTGTGGGGTTTGAATGTTCTTCTCTCTCTGCATATGAGATTTTTTTATTAACTGTAAGCAACCGTTAACATCAACAGAAATCCTTCAGATATTTTCACTTTGTGTCTAATAAATTTACACACATGAAGATTTATTTCACTTTTAAACTGAATTGCAGAAATCAATCATGTTTTCTAATATGTTTTCAATTATTACACCACATGAATTAAGCAGCAGTGACAATACAAATAGACTTAAAACTGCAAAATTGCTGCAACTTTCTAAACCTTGATAAAACATTAATTTCCTTGCTAATCTATGCAGCTTCCAGAGTATCAAACCGCTTATAATTGACTAAATCTTTACTTTTTATCAAGCTTAAATTCTTAATTTCTTGTGTGTTTCTACTGGCTTGTCTTGTTTTTAATCTCTGTAAACCTGTCTATATGAAGTGTTTTTGTAAATAAGGTTGATTTAAATTTGTTTTTCTGTCATATTAACTGGTTTTCTTGCTAACAGTGTTTTTTGTTTGTTTTGAAAAGGATTCTGATTTGCCGTTTCTGATTGGCCCATTGTATTTTGCCTAACACCGTATTTTGCAACAATACAGCAGGCAGACATGGGAAAGAAAATTGTGCTTCACATTTCCTTCTTCCAAAAATAAGAGACAGCAGGAAAAGTTGAAAACTGTTGACATTCACTTTAATGGTTTGGTTGGGATTTTTTTCCTTTTTTTTTTTTTTTTTGAGTACAGTGGTTATTTCTGCCTGTGCGGCATTCACAGATATAGACATAAACAAATAACAATAACTGGGAACGCAACACGTATAGCTTTGTGATAATAACTGTGGCTCAGTCTAGTTGTTACAAAAGGCACGAGAGCGACACTCTGCACCTGTACATACACTTACACAAACAAGTAAAATCTGTCCAAGACTTGGAACTAATACTTTTAAAATTCTGTGTGGTTCATAAAATGACAGCTATTTACATACAGTTTGCACAATTAGAATCTTAAGACAAAATCATAGTATGAGTTTGAAGTTAAGAATAATAAACACTGATTATTCAGTTGTAATAAAACATTTAACATAGATTATAATTAGAAGGTTATCTACGGTCAAGTGCTATTAATTTTGATATACAGGAGAGCAACGTCTCCTGTCTCAGTGGCATAAATCAAGGTGCAGCTTAGAGATTGGAGTCCGGGGGCAAAAGTCAGAGGTTACAAAAAATTCAGTCAAGCCTCCACCTTCTGAGAAAAGTGGTTAGTACAAAAAAAGTGGTGTTGCAGAAGAAGAGCCAAAACCAACTTGGCTACTTCTACGAGAACGATAACATTGTATTGTATTGTACTGTATTGCAAACACACTGGGAATTGTTTAGTCGAGGTGATGCCAGGCAGCCTGAGGTGGAAAGTGGCCCATCGTAGCACCGGAGGTAAAGATGGTCCCACACTTAAGCAAGTGCTCGTTGGTCATCTCTGCTAGTTCTGCTGACTTGTGCAAAGCGCTCTTCACATCTGAAGTGGTGCGGTGCTCTACGTTCAAAGCTGCTGGTCGATATTTTCCCAGTTGAACAAAGAAGCATAAAAATAAAGAGGAGGCTGGTATTTTCCCATGGATCACTCGTGATCAAAGAGTGATTAGATGTGCTCTGAAAGCCAATGCAAACTCTAAAACCCTCCTCATTTTGGAAAAAAAAAAAACAAAAAAAGAAAAAAAAAGTTTAACATTAGCAGCTTATAAAATCATCTTGTGGAATATGTATATATCTTATATTCATATAAAAAATATCTGAAATATTGATTCTTTTCACTGGGCAGGTTTTACGTACCGCCGTATGAGCCTGTTGAATTTCACGGGTGTGTGAACGTGTCAGCATGTGAATGAGTATGTCAAGATGTATAAGCTTGCGTTAGATTGTGCTCTATCACATCCTTGTCTTGAAATGATTCCCTTACTTTATATACTAATGTTTCTCTTTTCAACATCTGTTGCTCTTGCTTTATTGCAGTCCAGCCCCTCTTGTTTGTCTCCTGACACCACCTGCTAGCAAACCGTTTGCTGGCTGGACAGTGGACTCTCTAGGCACACGCTTGTTGGAGACATGTCTGAACGGGTGCAGGGCTTGAACATGGACGAGATGTGAAAAGCCTGCAGGCAGAGAACCAAAAAAAGAAAGAAAAAGAAGCGCGTCAGGAGATATACACAAACCCCACATGAGAGAGCAGAGTGAGGCGGTGGAACGAGACTACTGTTTAACCTAACTCCTCGAAAGGAAACAGAAATTCATCCTGCAAGGAGGAAAGTAACTCTGGACATACCACCCAGTATGCAGTGAGTCCCCCTTGGATGAAGCCGGTGAGGACATCAGTGGGGTGGTGGCGGTAGTCAGAGATGCGGCTCAGGCCTGTGTAGATGGCCAGCATCACTAAGAGGAACTGCACCAGCGGACGCAATAATCGAGCTCCTCGCCACGACAGCCTAGCCTGCAGGTAGAACTGCAAAAAAAAAAAAAAGAAGATAAATACTGTTATTATACAATCACCACACTATTAATATATGCTTGTGTGCTAATGCATGCCCCAAACACATAAAACTGTGATTATGTTTAATGACTAAAGTTCTGCAAAAGGAGACAAAGTGCTTTAAGTGAAAGATGAGCATCCGCTCCATCTGCAACCCAGAGGGAAAACAGAAACTTGGCGTGACGCCATAAACAGTTCTTATGCCGTGTCCCATCCCTACGTTCATCAACCACATCGGCGCTGAAGGGAAAATAGAAATTTGCGGATTCCAAATATATTTAAGTGCGATGTTGAGGAAGGAAGAGCTTTATAAAGTTATCTGCGGTCTGTCTGGGCTTATCAGACAACGGAGCCCACATTCCTCCAGGAAAGTCGACCTTCGTTGGGTTTTTCTCAACTTCCCACTGTGAGCAGGTGTTACTCCCACTGCTTTGTGCACAAGCAGCTGGCTGCAGTCCGAGAGGCATGTACCTACAGGCCTGAGTCGTCTACACATTATTGAAACATTAGGAAGGAGCAAGCCAATGTGCAAAGCTGTCTGTCTATCTGAACACCTCTTATTATTATTTTATCTCCTGCTATCAACTTCATCACCTTGTAATGGATATGTATGCAGTATAACTGTCAAATTTATGAGGAAAATATATATAGATCTTTACTTTATATATATATATATATATATATATATATATATATATATATATATAGCCTTCCAGAAAAAATACTTTTTTCTACATCTTTTGTAAAACAATGTATGCACCTCCACTTCTGCTCCCACGATGGAAATAGGGTTTGATCTAACCCTGTTTCTCCTGAAACCTACAATCATATCCTTGGTTTTGTTCACGTTCAAGATGAGATGACTGTTCCCACACTATGTCACAAAGCGGTCCAGCAGTTTCCTGGACTCAACTTCTTGTCCATGTCTGATACACCCTACAGAATCAGAAGTATTTCTGCAGATGACAAGAGTTGGACTTGTGCTGGAAGCATGAAGTGTAGAGAGTGAAAAGGAACGACGAGGATACTGTCCCCTGTGTTGCGCCTGTGTTTCTGACCACCTGGTTAGACACACTGTCCTTCAGTCTCACAAACTGTGGTCTGTTTGTCAGGTAGTCATTGACGGCCTCCACCTGTGTCCTCTGAAGTTTCTGATGAAGCACATCAGGCTGAACTCAGTTAAATGCACTGGAGAAATTAAAGAACGTGATTTTTCACAGTGTTGCCTCCTATTCCCAGGTGACAGTGGGTTTGTTGAAGCAGATGAATGATGGCAACTCCAACTCCACGGCAATAAGCAAACTGCAGGGGGGTCCTGAAATGTCTTGTCTGCTTACTCAGGTGGGCCAACCGGAGTCTCTCCGGCACTTTCATGATGTGGGAATGATGGGTGAGTTTTCTTCTGTACTGCAACAAGACAGGACGTCTTCCACAACTCTGGAACCTTCTTCTGGATCAAGCTAAGGTTGAAGAGGTGTTGCAGAATAACACAGAGCTGCTCTGGCCTTCAGGACTCTCAATAATTCCCTGAAGAATATTTTTCTTCTGCTCAGTAGCTCCTTCAGGCTGGTCACTCTTCGTCTCTACTTAGCCAGAAAGAAATGTTGAAAACTTTACTTTTCAAGGCCCCTTTTAAAGAAAAAGTCGTTGAAAGTCAGACTTGGTTAGACCATTTGAACCAAACCACTTTTCAACCACATTTAGACATCAATAGACTTCTTTATGTGAAAGTAATTTTCAACTTTAATTTCTCAGCCACAGTTATGGGTTGTTTGGATGGAAGAAAATGTTTTTTATTATTTCAGGGTGACTTCTAAAGGTAGTTGGTAGCACTGGGTTTTATTTAGGCCTATCAAATGATTTTACTGGTAAGAAATTAAAAAAAAAATAAAAAAGAAAAAGGCATTTTTTTTTTTTTTTTTTCCCACGTCATACATAGACCAACATAAAGATCACATCACATAAAATCCCAGATAGACACACTGAAGCTTTCTTTTCCAGCGGCATAAAGCAAACGAATGAAACATAAGAGAGGCTACTTTGTGCATGGAAATATTTAGGTCATCTGAAATGATCAATTATGGATTAATTATGGGTAATACACAAGGAATGTGGACACTGTATGGATGATGACAGGCTTTTGTCTCCCTCTAACTGTCACTTCTCTCTCACAAAGCAGCCATGAGCGCTGGGCAGTGCATTCAAAGGGAGAGAGATGAAGAGTTGGAGGGGGGAGTCGGAGGAGGGGGTTTAGAGGGTGTCTATTGCTGAAAGAAGCCTGTCGATCTCTCAGCAGGCACTTTCAGTCCTCCACCCCCTCTGCTAAATGAGAACCACAACAAGGCCTCCTCTGTTTGTGGAGTCTCTTCATCTATTCAGGCTCCCAGTGGAAAACAGCCTCCCTCGTTCTCCAGCCCCCACCATCTCTCTCCGTCTCTCCAGCTCTTTCGATCTGAGGCAGGATGCATGTTGGGAGCTGCTGCTCTCGAACATCCCCTCCTTCACAATCAGGAGTTGATGTATTAAACAGCACATGCCTGTCGGTGTTTGTTCATCTGTGTTGAGATGATTCATGAATACTCGCAAATTTGGTTCTCTAGCCTCAATGGATCAGTACTTGAAAGTTTTATTTCACTAAAGAGAAAGTTGGAGCTGCAGCACTTGGGAGAAAAAAAAAAAAACAAACACCTTTAGTAATTGCAGCATATATGCTCGTAAGTGAAAGTGAAGGTCGTGTTTGTGATTAGTTTCTTGGAAAATGTGTCTGTGAAGCACTTACTGCCAGATAGAGCATGGTGTACATGGCAAAGGAAGCGTGCCCGGAAAAAAAGGATTTCCTGAAAGAGAAGATTAATAAAAGATGTCACATGTTACACATTAACTGCTTGAGTTAACCAACACCATGACCCACCCTTGGTTAGCACTTTATCACTGAGCACAAAGAAAATAAAGAAGACACATAGACACACACCTTGCCTCTACCACCAGCTTGTCATGGCGTGGATTGCATTTGACCTGACTGACGTAGCTGCCACGAGTGCAGTTAATGGATTCGTATGTGATGTTACACACAGAGAGGAAGTTCGGCCGCAGGCGCCCCACACTGAGTTTGGCCATGTTTGTGAGAGACTGCCCCACACAACAGCCAAACAGGAAGCTTCCCAGTTCCTTGTACAGGCACGACACGTAGTGGTTTCTAACAAAAGCTCGTGAGAGCACGCCTCGAAAGCGCACACGGTAGCATTCTCCCAGAGCAATCTGGAACAGAAACAGCAGAAATTGGTTTGTTAATGTCACGGCGGACAAGTGGGTGGAAAAAAAGATGAGGAACTTATATATGCGCAGCCTTACTGTTAAGCCGGTGATGGCGATGCCGCCTGCGATGAGCAGGGTGTCGGGGATGGCCTCCGTCTCCAGGTATGGATAGGTGATGCTGTCGTCTCCGCAGAAAAAGCCTCGTTCATACGGAGTCACTGCCCTCAATTCACATGCAAAAAATGGGATGGAAGCTGATGAGAGAAGAAAAATTAAAAAAGGGTGAGGATCGCGAAGCAGACAAAAACAAAAGATGACTTGATGAATGTCTGAGTTGTGGTTTGTGAGTAAAGGATCACAGAGACAAAAAGAAAGAGAGGGGGGGGGGCATCCTTATGCAGACACAGGCTGTTGGCAGCATAAAAGGCTGGCTTTCTCCTGACTTCTGTCATGAGATACAGGTAAAGTAAGGAGCGATATTATGTATCAGGCATTTGGGTACACAATCTGGTGAAAGACATTCATTCCACTCATAGCTGCATCAACCTGGATGCAGCTAGCGGGAGCAGGAAGAAGGAAGAGGACTGACAGACAAAGACTCGGAAAAACGAGCATGGCACTGGTTCAGAAGAAGTGGAAAATCCAAAAGAGGAAGGAGGAAGAGGGCATTACAGAGCACAGTAACAAAAACCGGAGAACTTCAGAGAGCAAAAAAGAACAATGAATTCACTCTTCAAAGAGATCTAATTTTAAACCAGTAATGAGTAATCATCTAACCTGACTTTTCAGCCTGGTAAATGATTATCAAAACGGAGGTCAAAGTCTAACTTTTGCAAAACAGACAGCCCAGTCAGACGGTGAAAGTTAAAAGTTGTGCAACGCTTCAGTGATAAGAGCGGCAATGCTGTTTCAGTACGCCACTCCATCCACCAAAACACTAAAAAACTAATGAATGTACTTTTAAACTAATAGCCAATAACCTTGTAAAGGCTTACCCAGAATCCTCCATTTCTTTATCCCATGTCCCCCCATTCCCCTGTGGAATGCAGTGAGAACATGGGACTAATCATTAACCTCTGCCTCTCCTTCTCATCCCAGGCCTGCTCGCTGGTTGGAACGCGCCCAGGCCAAAAGCGCTGCTCCTACCAGGGAATCTTTCAGACTACGTGACTTTGTAGTGCACAGGATATACACTTTAAATCCAGGCAAGAGAAACAACAAGCAAACACACCCTCCAACACACAAACAGCGGTCTGAAAACACGCATCTAAGGTTTAAATATAATCCATTTAGCCATTGTCAGGTATTGTATTGTCTTCATTCAGCTCTTTCACGTCAATTCAACAGCACTCTCACTGTACAGATAAACAGTTGCCATGGCAATTATCTTCTTCTGCTACTTAAAGTTCGGAATACTCCTGAGACTAAACTCTCATATTGCACGATAACGTGATTTACAAAGGTCTGCTACAGTCAAGATTAACTGGTTGAACTCTGTTCAAAGTCAAGTTGCCCTTACAGAAAGACAAAACAGAGCCATGTTTAGGAAGTTTAGCATGGAAGCAGAGAGGAAAACCCACAGCAGACAGATAGCAGGGGCCATGACGCCAACAAAGAGAGGGAGACAGATAGGAGGCACCTCTCATCTGACCCCAATCTCTCACTCATCTCATTCAGTCACCACATGCATACACACACCCATACACCTCCCACAGGTATCCTTTCATCATTTATGTTCAGCTTTTGTTTTGACCTCTTTGATTTTAAATCATGTAAAGCTTAGTGAAAACACTAAGCTTTAACAGTAAATTGATATGCATGTACTTTATTCCATATTTAGAAATCCTATAAATCTTGAGAGGCAGAGCTGCTTAAAATGTGTAGCGACCACAGAGGTTTTGCAACCCTGACAGACCACACAGAAAAATCTTCCTAATGTTCGGCACAGAAGACATGCTTCACAAAAAAGATTCACACAACTTGGACTTCTTCACATTTTATGCCGCAACCACCAACCTTGGTGTTGTGTGACAGATCAACTCAAATTAATCCATAACTGTTAATTGGAAGGAAAATGATAAATGACATCAAGATTGTTTTTAACAATTAATAATCTGAAAAGCATGTAATAATATTCTACCTATAATTCTACCTAATAATTTTCAAGTATTGCAAAAGATTCTTAATTTGATTTCGGTCTCAGCTCATGGGTTTCGTCTGGGCCGTTCTAATACACGAACATGCTTTGAACATGCTGGATGTTTGATGTTGTCCTGCCTGACGGTGAATCTGCAGCTCAGTCTCAAGTCTGCCACAGCTTTTTACAAGTTTTCTTCCAGTGTTTTAACTCAATTCAACTCTGATCAAATTCCCTGTTCCCTCAGCAGAAGGGTATCCCAAGAGCAAGATGCTGCCACCAGGTATTACCGTAGGGATTGTGGGATTCAGGTTATGTGCTGTGTTAAGTTAAGCAACAAAGTAACAAAACCTAATGTAAAAACATTCATGAACTTGTTTTTCAGGCAATGTATCCTAAGAGGTATTAGCATAACAGAAAATGTTATATTGAAAAGCAGACTCCTAATTATTGGAAACTGAAACAGGAAATTGTTTGAGGAAGGGTGTCCTGCTTGCTTTTTGCTATTGGAAATGTATATTTAATTCAGACATTTCAGTGTGCGTTTCTCCGTTGCAGTCAGTTTAATCTACAACAGTCTAGCTTAAAACTGGATGCCAATAGTAATTTGTAACACCCAACAGTTCACAACAATTTGCTATGCTGCTAAAAAACGTTTTAAAGGATATTTGGGAACAGGATTTGTCCTCTTAGATAGTCACCATTTGAACATAACCGACGTATGTTAAGAATAACTGAGGCAGTTTTGTGACAAACAGAGACACAGGCTTTTTGCTCGTCCATGAAATCCATTAGCATCCCCTTTCGGACGCCTCATCGGGTTTTACGATAGAGCCAGTCCTTTTTCAGCAATCAATATGTTGCTGCATTGACAGAGAGATAATGGATAGGCCCACCATTAGGGTCCAAACACGGTGCTGTTACAGAATGAACATGGACTTTTTAAGGGATCATTTTCATTGCTCAGTGTCTAATGGGACCCGTGAAATGCTGAGCCAGACAGAGGTATGTTTTATCATCCAGTGAGTGGCAATGAGAATGGCTGGTGCTATAGCCCTGTTTCTGAGTATGGTGCAACTTGCCTCTAATATACATTAAACAGTATTAACAGTAACATGACGCAAGTCACTCCGGCTTCAAATCAACCACAAAAGTTACCTCCATCATCCGGCGATTCACATTCAAAATTAGTTAATCAACAAAAATAGAACATAAACCAAATGCACAGGCCTAACCGCGCATTACAAACTCTTGTTTGCTTTGCAGCTACACAAGCTGTTTTCACAACAAGGCACAAAAACCCTCCAGAGACTGTCACATCATCTATCAGGCAGCTGTGAGCCAACCTCTGCACCTGGCCTAGGCATGCTTAAAAGAAAGCCAGAAAAGGAGGGCCTGTGAGGAAACCGAGAGGAGGCAGAGAAGTGGTTCAGCTCAAAGAGCCGAACCAAAATGTGCTGCTCTCTGGGCCTGGCTTTAGAGCCAGAATTCTTTCAAATAGTCAAAAGGGACAGAAAAGAAAGAGGGAGAAGAAGGAGGGGAGACGAGCCCCATTCTGAGAAACTCTTCTGGTTCTAATTTACACATCTATGACCACGGTGCAGAATGAGCTCACTGTGAGAGGAGAAAAACAACAACCGACAACAAGAAAATAAGGAAGTAATTAAAGATTGCGAGCAAAAAGTAAGTAAATTATAGTTATTCTCTGTCATGGAGTGTCAAAGTAAAAACAAGGCTAAAATGGGCAGTCAGGGGAAAGATTATTGATGATTTGGGCAGTAATGGTTGTGTGAGAAAAAAAAATTCAATAGACAGAGTAATGAAAGATGCAACAAGGGCTTCTCCAAGAGCAGCAGCACACGGAGGCGATTAGTGGCGGTTCTGGAATGTGAGGGTCAGGGATCTGGGCTCTGCTGGGACCCGCTCTGTAAACACGACCCCGCCTCAGCTAAGAGAATACCCCTCACATGCCTACAGAGATTCATATACACTTTAAAACCCACAATTACATACAAATAAGCTTAAACCCACAGACTAATAGACAACTAAACACACCACCAGAGCAGAAAGGGAAAAGAATCACTCAGAATGAAAACAACTCATCAAAATATTCAATGCCAAAGGAGTAATCTAAAAAAATATACAAGGACATGCTGTACATTCAAGGCGCTCTTATAAAATCACATGCCTAGATAACCTTGGTGTATTCTGCTTCTATTTGTTATACAGTCCATCCAACCTCACAGATAAGGGACACAGCCTGGAGCTAGATCTAAGCAGCAGTAATGGCCACCTGTATTATTGCACCCAATAGCACAGGCTTGGATCAGCTTTTGCCCTTTGACAAAAGTGAAGGACACACAATTAGTGACCTGTCAACACAGGTCTATCTGGCCTGCAGCTTGGGACTGAGCAATGCAGCCACCCTGACGGGTGGTCCATCTCCTGTTGGCCTTTGACCAGCTTACACGTACCAACGTATTCTACATAAATCTTCCAAGCTGCTTATTTTTCTTCTGGCCAACCCTTTAAAAAGAGGCAGAAAAAAAGTGCTGGGTAGCAAAATGATGCATTGACATATTCTGAGGCTTTTATGGCCACAATAATCCCCAGTAACAATACAAGGAGCAGCCTGACGTCTTCCCTAATATGTCGATGAACAGCAGCGAGGGTTTTTGCTTGTGATGCCGGAAAACTGGCATCCAAGTAATCTCTATAAAGTCTGAGCTAGGTCTTTTGTGGCAATGTGAGAAATAATGTTTCACTCTCACCACCAATTAAAGCCCAATGACACTATGCAATTGCCAGCAGACAATGTCCTGCCCTGTTCTTTCTTGGTGACCCAGTTCAGGTGATGGACAGGCGGGAGAACAATTAAACTCCTGCTGCACTGACACGTTCTCTATTTTCCCTTCTGATGTATTTTGTCTGCCCCAATGGCACCACAAAGAGATTTATCACCGAAGAACAAAGAGGTCTGAGGAGTCACAACAGACTCATATCCTGAACCCTAAGATACCATCAACGTCTTCTGCAGCTGGACCCAAAGCAAGAATCCCTCTCTGCTTCATTTATCATCATGCATCTTATGGGAGACAAGAAAATGCCCAGAGAGAA